CTATCATTATCACTGTATCATTATATTGCTATATCACTGTATCATTATATTACTATATCATTATATCACTATATCACTCTGTTATCATTGTATGACTCTGATGATGATTATCTTCTTCTTTTATTCTTCTTTTGAGTAGAGAGCAGACTTCTTTGAATCTAGTTCATCACTTTCATTCTCTTTCTCACATCTCATTCATTCGCGTCTCATATGTGGCATGCACCTGAATATGAAGTTTTTCCCTAACAAGCAAAGCAGCATCAATCAGATACTCTTCTGCTCACTGCTCTTCATACACTATCTTTTGAGACATTCTAGAACCACACTGACATGATAACTATAAATTGCTTTGTAGATGAAATTATCATGCTCTGAAGAAGTCTGCACTTCTCACTGGTTTTTAGACATGCTATCAGATGTGATTCAAAGGTTGCTTAAGCCAGCATACGATTACAGGCGTACACTGGCTTCTTATATATTGAATCTTATATGCTAAATTAATTAGTGGCCACTAGGGCCCTCTTTACATTCATACGCGTACGCTAGTAGTTCGGAAGCGTACGCGTACGCTAGTAGTTCGGAAGCGGCCGCGTTATTATCCGACGGTCGTACGTTCTTCCGAACCACAAAACTGCTACAGGTCCTGATTCAATTAATCACTTGATTATTCAAAATACATATTCCTACTTAAAGAATGAATATTTTGAGCTCTTTTTCAATCTCTTGAAAAATGAATATCATTCTGAATGCTGAAGAGAAGTCACTGAAGTGATTCTTACAAAACCTAATAGAAAAACTTCAATTTCTAAGTCATATAGAGTAATATCTCTATTGAACTGTCTAGAAAAGATTTTAGAAAAGATAATAGCTACTCAACTATCTTTTATAAGCTCTATAGATGATTCTCTTTTATTCAGTGAATAAATAAGAGATAGAAAACAGTGTTCTGCAATTGACACTGTTCTCTCAGTTGTTCATGATATTTAAATAGCAAAGCATGAGAGTCTGGTCTCAACTGCAGTTTTTATTGATATAAAAGAAGTATTTGATCATGTTTCAAAGTCAAAGTTAATTCAGATATTGAAGATATTAAAACTGTCACTTTCTCTAATAAAATGAGTTAACTGTTTTATATCTAAAAGAATTATACAACTCTTCTTTGATGGAATGAAATAAGACAAGACTGAGATAAAAATAGAAGTATCACAGAGATCTTCAATCTCACTCATTTTATTTGCAATATACACTGCATATCTATTCAAGAATAGAAATATGAGAATAGTGTGATCTCTGAGTTATATGAATGATATTGATCTAGTCTACAGCTCAAAAACTATCAAAGAGAATTTGAAAGTAATTGAAGAAGCTGCAAAGAAAATCTTTATTAGAGCAGATATCAATCAAATTCAATTTGATATAAATAAAACTGAGTTAATTCATTTCTTTTCTAGATTCAATGAGAAAGAACTATCTCTAACTCTTTTAAATAGAGAGATTAAACTCAGTGTAAATGTGAAATGATTAGAAGTATGATTAAACTCTAAGTTGAATTTTAAATATCATATTCAACAAAGAACTGTCAAGGCAGAAAGACTATTGAATAACATAATCAGACTATCAAATACAGAGAGAGATCTATTCTTTCAGGCTATGAGACAGTTATATATAGCCTGTATTACATCAGTAGCTGATTATGAAGTTCAAGTTTGATGAAGTAATTAAGAGAATTTCACTGAACTCTTTCAAAGTCTGTAAAACAGAGCCTTGAGAAGAATTCTGAAAGCATTCAAATTATCTTCTATTAAAGCAATGAAAATTGAAGCTTCAATTCCTTCTTCTGCTATTAGATTTGAAAAGACCTGTATAAACTATGCTCTGAGAGTTGTAAAGATGAGCTCAAATCATATAATCAGAGAAAGAGTCTCTTCTTCATTTTTATCAATTAACTCTGGAAATGAACTGAATTGAAATAGATTTCTTGATTGAAATAAAAATAATTCTTTAAAGAAAATATCTTCTCAACTGTATAGACTATGCTTTCTGATTAAAAATTAATTTTCTTCTTTAAATGTTGAAAAAGTTGATCATGAGAAGTTATCTCTCTGAAGAAAAAAGCTTGAATCTCTTATAGACTTATAAATAAGTGAACTATTAAAAGAGAAAGAATATGAACAGTATTTGAAGAGAATTTCTACAATCAATATAAAAGACTCTATTCTGATTTATTCAGATGACTCAAAAAATGAGAACTTGAAGAGATTAGATGCAGGCATTGCTTATACTGAAGATAATATTAATTTTATCTCAGATTTCTGAAATCTAGGCTCTGAATATGAAGTCTTTGATGCTGAACTATTTATAATAGTGAAAGCTTTCAAACTCATTGAAATAAAATCTCATAAAAGAGGAAATTGTTTAAAAGAGATATGAATATTCTCTGATAGTCAAGCTGCTTTAAAAAGACTTAGAAATAGTTAGATTTATAATAATCAAATGAATCTTGAACTGATCTTAAACTCTGTTTTAAAAATTCAAAAGAGAAGAATATCAAAGCTGAGAATTCATCTACACTGAGTTCCTGCTTATATGAATATTCATGACAATGAATTGACTGATTCAGCTGTAAAAAAGAGTGCAGAATTAAGCAGATCTATTCAAAAAATTATGTTCTGATCTTTTATAAAGAGAAAAATAAAAGAATCTTGTTTAGATAAGTGAAATAAAAGCTGGTAGAAACAAAAGAAGAGTATACATTATTCAAGATTTGAAATAAAACTCAAGTGAAAATCTTGTTCAATTAAATGTAAAAAGAAAATATTCTCATCTATAATACAGCTAAAACTAGAACATGACTATTTCAAATCTTATATACAAAGATTTGATAATAGATTTGACTCAATAGAATGCTCATTCTGCAATATAAATGAGAATTCTGAGTATATTATAATGCACTGTGCATTATACAATAGTCTCAAAGTCAGATTGAAAGAGAAGTATAATCTAAATCAATTAAATATGAGATTCTTATTCTCAACTGAGACAGAAATTAAATACTTAATAGACTTTCTATCAGAAACTTAAGCAGCTATAAGAAAATGACTAAATTCAGAATTATCTGAATATGAAGAGGAGAAAATCAATCAGATATAGTCTGTTAAAACAGCTATATACTCTCTTTTAATAATTTATTTTGTTATAGTCTCTCTTTACTTTATCTTTTTCTGTATCTTTTTCTTTCAGTTTCTTTCTATCTATCTATTTAATATGTCTATCTTTGAGACTGTGTTCTTTCTCTCTTTTCTTTTGTCATGATATTGTCAAATGATTTCAAAGTATCAAAAGATGTTAAAACACTGTAATTTGTAAACAGTTTTTGTATTCTGAGCTGGAATTTTCTGATTTTGCATATCTGAAATTGATGAATGTACAATAGGTAACTTTACAGACATAGAAAAAACCCTGAGAACTAAAGTTCTCAGATAGATGTTATAGGCTCTGACTGCATACATCTATAATTAAAGAATAATAATAATAAAATAATAATAACATTATTATCTCAGATATCTTAAGAGCTGTAAAGACTTGCTGTATATAATAAAGATATTTATTCAGCAAGTGAGAGAAGATAATAATATCATTTACATAGACTAATATAAATTATTATAGAAATTTCACTAGAATCTTCTTCATACACTGTTAAAAGAACTCAGATAAAGTTATCAATCTCATTGTAATAACTGTAAAATATTCAAGATCTCAATGTGAAGTTATAAATATGATTTTAAAATAATCACTCTGTTCAATCACTTATTAAAAGAAGTCTTAATGAATGTTCATGAATAAGAATACTGTAGAACTACTGACTGATTGTAACACATCTTATTGTATCAGTAGAGAGTATGCATTGAGAAGTAAGTATGCATTTACTTTTTACAAATCAATCATCACTCTCAGCTTCTCTCTAAGTCAGATCACAAAGGTGAGTGAAGCAATGAGGCTTCTGTCTCTGAGAGAAACATATTCAATTCTTCTATCTTACAGAAATGAGTTCAGAATCTGGTCAGTGACTTCATGATCTCTTTGAGACAGAGAATAGGCTGTTATTTTCCACTGGGGTTCGGCTACCCCAACATGCAAGGGATAGTGGGGTTTTGGCTGCCGCCCAACTCCGTCAATCAGAACATCCGCATGGATAGTAGCTATAAAAGGGACCTGGAGACCTCTCCCCATTGTTTTGTAAGTTAAATCCGAGATACCTTATTTCATTATAGTGTTGAAATTTCGTTTATCCACTGATTAGTTGTTACTAAATTACGGAGTATGGCCGCTACCAAAGGAGGAATCAATTTTACCAGATACTTCTTCTATACGGAGTAGATTACGCGTATTTAAGACACTACTGTATTCAATGGTGGCCTCGCCCCCAGAACGAGGAGATAAACTGCCGTAGTTTGCCCTGGCGCTAGTTCTGGTCTCCAGCTGTTGCCAGCCTATCAGTTGCAGCACGAGCACGCGACACTGCCACGGGCTGCGCTTCTTTTGCCGGTTCGAGGCGTAGAGAAGAGGAAGAGGAAGAGGAAGAGGAGGAGGAGGAAGAGAAAGGCAAAGACGGAGACGCCTGCTAGATTGCGGTATATAATAGGAATCTCTGGCCTTTTTCTTCTTCTTCTTCTTCTTCTTCTTCTTCTTCTTCTTCTTCTTTGTTTTTTTCTTTTCCTGTTGGGTGCGGATATAGTTACTATATATATTTATTTGCCCGTCAACTCGCGATATTTATTCGGATATACCAAGTATATATATACATAGACACATATTGCTTCTATAGCTTTCTGTTTCTGGCTCTCAGCGCTCCTGTCCCCCCCTCTAGGTTGTAGCTGTGCTGTGCATAATCTGCCATCTAGACCAATACATCCCCCAATATATCGTCAAAATATATCGTTACTGTTCTTCTCTCTCCAAAAGAAAATCCCCAGAAACACCCGCTTCCTTGCTAATTCAGCATGCCAAACCCACGCCCCCCTCTAACTCCAGCTTCTTCCGCTGACATCGCTGCAAAGGAGAAATTCGCCAATTCTCCAAACGAGATGTTCTTTTCCCTGCCTCCAGCTGCTCTCCCTAGAAATGGTAGCCCCGGCTCCGGCTCCGGCTCCGGCTCCAGTTCCAGAATTGGCTATTCCAAAGAATCCGCTCCTGCTCGCCCAATGTCTCCCATCTCGCCATACATCCCCGCAGCTGAAGCGTCAAACACCACCCGTGGCCCCAGAAGCTCCCGCCAGAAAGCAAATAACAATAACAACAACAGCAGCAACGGTAACAGTAGGAAGCGCTCTGCCGCAGCGAACTTCACCCTCCCGCCTCCGCCAACTCGCACGCGGAAGATCATCCAGATGAAGCCCAAAACCCAAGCTGAGCAGACAGCGCCGCGGGATGCTGGCGGCGCTGCTGGTTCAGAGGGTAAGGCCAAGGGCGAGACTCCTGGCGCTGGTTCTGGTGCTGGTGCTGGTGCTGCAGGATCCAAGAAGAAACAGCAGGGCAATGGCCCGACTACCGCGGCAGGACGGAAAATTGCACGCAAGACCGCGCATAGTTTGATTGAGCGGCGGAGGCGGTCAAAGATGAATGAGGAATTCATGACGTTGAAGAATATGATTCCTGCGTGTAGGGGGCAGGAGATGCATAAGTTGGCTATTTTGCAGGTTGGTTTGCCTTTGTTTCCTTTTTTTGTTTATTTTTATTTTTATTTTTATTTTTATTTTTATTTTTATTATTTTTTTTAAAAAAAACCCTATTCCATTTGCCTAAATACAAATACTTACACAAAAACAGGCTAGCATTGATTATATGAACTACCTGGAGCAATGCTTGAAGGAACTTAAGGCTGCAAACTGCTGCAGCAACAACCGCAGTGACAGGACGGGTTCTTCAGGCCCTTCCACCCGGCGCATCACTTCAGGACACCACTCCGTCAGCACCGGGCGCCATGAATTCTCCTCATCACGCTCTCCCTCCCCATCTCGATCACCTTCTCCCGCCTCCTCCAACTTGTTACACAACAACCACCTGAACAACAACAACAGCAGCACAAGAATCTCAAACATCTACACGGACCGTAACCAAAACCCTAAGCACGCGTACAAGTATGACTATGAACATCAACAACAGCAACAACCACAACCCACGCATCCGCATCCCGCATACGCCCTCCTCCCTTCCTCGTCCTCCTCGTCCCGCGACGCCGCCTCCGCCGTATTCGCTGGCCAGGGTCAACCGATAGGCCCATACCTGCACGCACAGCGCAGACCCCCGTACGGCCAGATGGCACCTTCATCGTCATCGTCGTCGTCGGCGGCGTCGGCGGCGGCATCAGCGTCACCGACAGGCACGGCAACGCCAAACGTTAACCCGTCTCCTGTCGTCGTCGCGCAACGACGACAACAACAACAACAACAACAACAACAACGTTGCCCCGTGGGTGGTCCCGGCATGAACATGGACATGGGCGTGGGCGTGGGCGTGGGCGTGGGCGTGGACGTAGGCATGGATACGATGGACCATGAAGCGACGGCAGCGTTGTTGATGTTGAATCTTGATCGGAGGGGTTCCGGGGTTGCGGCTGGGGCTGCGGCTGGGGCTGGGATTGGGATTGGGATTGGGATGGATAGGGGTAGTAGTGGTGAAGGTGAAGGGAGCCAAGCGACGAGGAGGAAACTTGGGATGAGCGTGCAGGATTTGTTGAGTCATTGAGGGGGGATTCTTCCTTATGTTGGGGAGGGAAACTGGACAGGAGAGAGAACAGGGAGAGGGGGATTCTACGATAGCTAGATGTATAAAATTCTTATGAGAATGTATGAGAATATGATGCGTCCCATTTTATCTTTATCTCTATCTTTAGATTTGTCGTTATCTTTGTCTTTTATCTCTACCCTAGGGCCCCTTTCTCTCCTTTTTGACGTACATCTCTTATCTTAAACCATTTTAGCCACCTATGCTTTTCCCACCCACCGCTAAGCTTTAAAAGTGTCGTGCTCTATTGTCAGGAAAAAGAGGTTATACACTACTGAACGCCACCAACATCATATTACTACAATATTTCTCATCATCATCAGCTTACTACAATGCTTGTCTAATACTTGCTTATGCTAGCTCTCTTGGCTCGCACATATATTTTACTATAAATAGCTCTATCTTTTGTATGAAATAGATATATTAGATAGTGTACAGACAAGCAGATCTTGATACACATAATGTTACGCGCTACGCGTCCACGTTACGCGTCATACGCGTATTTCCCATCATGCCTGCGTAATCCTCAGAACGCCCACTTTTTCCTCCTTTATATATTCTCATTCTCCCCCATCTTAGCTAGCTAGAAGGGAATAAAAAAAAAAAAACTTCGTGGAATAACATCATATATGATAGCATGTCTACATACGCGTCCTAGCATCCAGATCCAGTTGTGATTGAATCTCAGATGAGATAGTAATTGCAGCTTCTAGTGACAGCCGTCACATGAAGATTGCAGACTCACAGACATGAGGTCATTATTGTGAAATGTCATCTACATCATCTATTCAACTGCTTTCACTCAATCTCTATCACTACTCAGTTTATTCATATCAACATATTACTATATTATTATTATTCTCAGTCTGTGAACTTGATCAGATCTCACATTTCAGATTAAAATGTTAAGAGATAGAAGTCACTCTGTCTCTTTATCTCTCTTTCAGATATTAATAGTAAGTAGTGAATTATTATATATATTTTTCTTTATAATCTTATCTTTCACTTACAGAGATAAAAACCTTATAAAATAAAATTCTCTAGTTTTATCACTCTATTTTAAAATACAATTTAAAATTAATACTGTTATAATATTACTATATTAAATGAGTTTTTAAAATAAAAAACATTCTTACTTAATTGAAATTTCTGTCATAGCAGAGTTTAAATATATTAAAGCAGTATTTACTCTAGAAGAAGAATCTTCTTATACTATCTATTTAGTTAAGATAAGAAAGTAATTTACAGCTTTAAATCTCTCTTATAAATTAGTTATTAAATTTAAGAAATAAATTCTGTAATTTAGATAAGAATTAAATTAAGTAAATAAAAAGCTTATAAATTTTAATTTAGATAAGAAATATAAAGCTGAGATATTTTATATCAATTTCAAACTAAGTATGAACTTAGATTTTATTTATACTACTTATAAGTATAATTTAATCTCTTCTCAATTAAGTATATTAATATTATAAGAGTAAATTTTTATTACTTCAGTATTTATTACTCATATTATTACAGACTGAGATGAAATATATAAAGTTTAATCAAGCTTCTATTTTAAGTAGATATAATAAGTAAATAATAATAATCTTACTTTAAAAATATATTTTAATACTTATTCTAATTCTAATACTGCAGTTAGTAGAAATGAAGATATCTATTAACTATGTAATATAAATACAGAAAATCTCTCTATATTATACTTTAATAGCAGCTCATTCAATTCTGTACACAATGTTTTTCATAAATGTGAAAAAGTGCTCTGATATAGATATACTTAATATTCAGATAATAATTCTCTCTTCTTCTCATCTTCTTCTAATGAAGAACTCAGACACTAATCTCAGTATTATAATAGATATTATCAATAGTATAGCTGATAATAAAGAAGATATAATTCTTCTTTAACTTTTAAATTCTGAGAATAAATATATTATCTTAAGCTTAAATCAGATAATGTGATGATATTCAATTCAGTTAAAGTTAATATCTGTATATTTATACTCTACTTTAAGTAAATTACTGTATTATATATTGACTGATTATGTAACTGTATCTGAGATCAGAATTAAACTTTATAGTTATTATATTATCTAAAAGTATTACTTCTGATTATAGTTTGTATTTATCACAGTAATCTCAAATCATATTATTTCAAATATTAAAGATTTCAGATTTACTTTTTAAATAAAAATCTAGTTTCAGATAAAGAATATATTTGAATTCTTAGTTACATTTTCATTCTGATTTCATTATTGAGAATGATATTAAATAAGATTATGAAATCATTTCTCACTTATATAATATTATAATATAGTGCTCATTTGTTGAAAATTTAACAGAGAGTATTATTAAATATTATTACTTTTCTTAACATAGATTATAATTTATATAATTTTAATTATAAAAAAAATATAAAATATAAAAAAAAATTAATAATAAAAAATTAAAAATAAAAACAAGAAAAAATCACAATAAAAAAAATAAAAGAAAAAGAAAAAAATAAAAAATAAAAATAAAAAAAATCAAGATCACAGAGTCATAGTATTCTTAAAATACTTACTTCTTAGAGTCTTTATAATATTTATTATTAATTATATATTTCTTACAGTAAGAGTAACACAGCTGTAATAAGTTATTATCTTAATATTATTTAATAAATAATCAGTATATATCTGTATAAATGTGAATAATTAGAAAATATACATTTAAAAAGTGTGATCAGAGTGAACTCTGCTGTCACTTGAATAGTATTAAGAGTAGAATACTGAAATCAATGATTTCTCTCATTAATTTCATAGATAAGACATGTGAAGATAATCTTAAGAAATATAAGATCTCTTAACTTCTGATAAAAACAGATCTTACAGAGAGACTCTATTTTCATAATATCAGAGACTGAGTGTTATTAAAAAGTATTACTTTTATACAATATATATATACTTACTGCAGCAATTCATTCTCTATGTATATAACTGAGAGTTGCAGCTTTTTCATACTATATGACTCTCTCTGAGATGCTGCTATTAGTTTATAATTCACACAGTCTCTTAGTTCAGTATATACTGTGTATATACAGTTCTGTATACTGAGATCATATTAATTATTATAATCTGATATGATACTTACTTTTCACAGATCATGTTTCATTTGAGAAGAGAAAGAAAGATGCAACTATTATTTTATTAAAAAGAGAATAAATAATTAGTATTATTAAATGTAATTTAATTCATCTATATTTAAAATTTGATTAGTCTATACTCTTTAATTTGAGAGTTTCTAAGAGTGTTTTAATAGTTTTCATATCAGCTTAAACTTAGTGATGAATTGAAGAAGAAGAGAAAAGAGAGAAGAAAGAAATGAGAATAACTTATCTTTATAATATGAAAACAGAGAATTACTGCAATCATTCTTTCTAGTAATAAAGATCTGTTTTCTGTATATATCTCTGATATAGATTATATGATAAATGTATATAAAGAATATCAATAGTACATGTATTGAATGAAGATAATATTACTATACAATACTGTAGCTGTTTCTGTACATCTCTGAAAGCTGTTAATAGTTTCTTTATCTCTTTATATTTAATAAGTTAATAATATATTCTGATGCACTCTCTCTTTCATTATTATTATCATTATCATCATCATCATTATTATTATTATCACTATCATCATTATTACTACTATCATTATTATTATCATTATTACTATTATTATTATATCATTGCCTGTCTTCACTCTCTCTTCAACACTTATTAAAATTAATTATGTTATTTCTCTTTAAATATTCTGCGGTTCTGCAGATTATCAAGTCGCATGAGTACTGTTACAGATTGAAGAGAGAGAAGAAGAAGGCATTCAAGCATAAGAAGACAGATTGTAAGATATATTATAATGTCTTAAAGAGGCTCTGTAAGAGAGTAGAATAATAACAATTTTAAGTAACACTTCTGATAGATTTAGACTGAACTAAGTATAGAAATAATGTAAATGATACTGTCTGTGAGAGATTAAAAAAGAAGACAGTGAAGAGTCTTATACAGTAGTAGTGAAATCAGAAGAAGTTCTGAGAATAATTTAAGACTAAGATAAAGAGAGAGAGAGAGAAGAAGAGTATTACTATAAATAAGTAATAGCAGAAGAAGATTGAGAAGATATTAAAGTAAAAGATAAAGAAGTCAAAACTGATAAGTTTTTTATTAAGAGATAATAATTTTTAATAATACTTCTGTTCTCTAATTGATTAGCAGAAGCTGACAGAGAAGAAGAAGATTGAGATCTTGTTCAGATCTTAAATACACTTCATGATTCAGAATATTGAGAAGACAGCTCTGCTCTCTGAGTATATCAATCTACTTACTACTGAGATGAAACCTGAGACAGTAGATCAGAAAGTGCAGGATTTTGAAGCACAGATTGATCTGACTGAGAAGAAGTATTGAGAACTCTTTTCTGAGAAGATAGCAGAGAGAGATTTTAAGATAATTATTATCTTAGATGAGAAGAAGAAGAAGAAGAATGAGAATGAGAAGTGAATTATAAAGAATCATGAGAAGAATGAGAAAGAGAAGAAAGATAATAAGTAGAAAAAGTTTTTTTCTTTTTATATTAATTAATTATAAGTTTATAACTATTAGTTAATAATTGAAATTAATTTTAAGTTTTTAAAAATTATTGTACAAGTTGTAATCAATTATTAATATCAGAAATAATATATATATATATATTTAACTATCATGCCATGCCACTATAATATATAAGTATCAACATTTTTTCAACATTAATATGCACAATATTAATATATTTTTAATGATATTATCTGATAATATAATTTGATAACACTCTCTTTCATAATATTAATCTATTTCAAGAAATATGACAGAGATTAATCAAGATTGTTTATTTACTTTTATACATCAATGATATTCAATCTGAGTTAGTACTAAAATTATA